TTTCAAATACATACATATTTACATACATACTTACACCTCATCTTCAAATGGGACATTCAAGTCAGCCAGCCATAAGCCATTGCTGTGAAGCTGTGTTGATAATTTGCGCGCCAAAGCTTTCACGTTTTTTTTCTTTTTATTTTACTCCATTACTACTACACTCCTATCGGGCGGCGGAAAATGGCAAATGCTTGCATCGTTATCCACTCAAAAATGGTATGCGTTGAAGAATTTACGAGCAATTTATTCAAATCAGAGCTCATATATCTTTGCTTGACTGCATGCGAGAGAATTGCTTTTATACTTTTGTCATCACATAAATCGCTTTAATTATGATTTAATAGCCGCTGGTGAATGTGTTTGAGAGAAGAGAAACTTAAAGTTCTGGTTTAAATTTGTAAGGCGTTTGGTTTTCCAGGTATTTTGGATTTTTGCTTGAAAACTTTGAATTGGTTCGTAGTCAAAATTTGTGTAGCCTTCCTGTAACAATCAGATTCAGATTTCCTCTACCATAACCGGCCGAGTTGAATACTTTCAGAACTGGAGCGGTGCGTCTATGTTCATTCGAACGACATGGTCAAGTCAGCGCACGCGCTGTATTTTAATTCGCTGCACTATGTCCATGGCTTTGCAAGGCTTGCCAAGCTCATCGTTCCATCATCTGCGGTATACGCCGTCACCAATGCGTAAAGGCCCGTAAATCTTCCGAATAATCTCTATCCCCAACACTGTACGGCCCGTCTCATTGAATTGAAATGGCTGCGCCATACTCCAGGACGGGCATAACGACGGACATTTAGAGTTTGGTTTTTATACTACAAAAGGGAACTTTGCATCTTAATTTCCCACGCGCTACAAAGTAACACTTTTTGGCGAAAGTGGTTCTCTGTTGGATTTCAAGGTTGACATTATTATCGGCGTTAATTCCGGTGCCTAATTAACTAAACGAGTTCCTCCACTTTTTCTCATTTATAACTGTCATTAGGGACGAGTAGCGATACACGAATGGACTACCTGTTTGCTTGATGACATCGATATCATCGACCGATGCTTTTATTACCTTCTCCAAAATGTGGTTAAAGAAATCACTCCATAAGGAGTCGCCTTGTCTGGAACGTGGTTTAGTACAAACGGCTCGAAAATGTCTTTTCTAATTTTAAGCCGTAATAGTTTCGCGGAGATACTAAACTGAGACATTGCGGTTTAAATGAAGCTCTTTTTCGTGCTCTCGAGAGCGGCTTTAAAGTCAACAAATTGATGGTGAGTGTCGACTCTCTTCTCGCAGGTAATTCCCCCAAGTTTTGGCGTATGGTGAATAACTGGTCTATGGTGGATGTTTTAGGTCTAAAGCCACACTGCTAAGGCAACATCACCTCGTTGGCGGTGGGCTTCAGTCTTTCCCACAATACGTCAGATAAGACATTATAGACGATATCTCGAAGGCTGTTCCCACGGCAGTAGGCGGGGCAATCCCGATTGAGAAGAGCATACTGAAATTCCAATCTTTAATCCCAAAACATTCTACATAAGGGTTCATAAATGCAACTTACTTGGTAGTGAAATTGCTATTAGTACCTCATGATGATCAGACGTTGAGACATGGCTCCTCTTGTCACCGACTGTAGACTCCGGTTCATCTTCTACACTACTTTGAGTGCTGCCAAAATTAAATGGGATGGAAAATTGTTCCCGCCATAATTTAAGTAAGTTCTGAACATCGGTCACTATGACGCCGAGGTTGTTCTTACAGGTGTTCGTCTTGACTGATGAATCGACTAGGCGGGATAGCCTTAAGGACATTTAGTCAGCTCAGCGAGCGCTGGTGAAAAACCCGACATGCGAAGTGCTTCGTTGGGTAGGCACTGTGGCCAATGATAATTATCAGTTACCAACTCTGCATGTTTCTAAGTCTTGCAGGCAAACAACAAAGCAATTTTTGGCAACTGAAACTTTCACTTTATTAAACTAAATTAAAGGGAAGAAATTCTAAAAAAACTAAAATTTTATGTGGTGTTTTTTCGAAACTTTAAGGCTCTCTAAGGCGACCGTAAATATTATCCGATCAGAAAACGGTTTTACACGATTAAATGTGATCATGTTACGCAACCTTTCCGCACTATTAGAATTTCGAAATCGTAAAATTGATTTTTTTCGCCCCAGCCTAGTGAGTATGATTTGAGGTGCCATCAATTTATTACTTTAATAAATCCTTTTGTATGGCACTTGAGAAGTGCATATGAAAAAATTTCATAAAGAAAACTGTTGCACACGCAGCGGTACACATATTATCGAGGATGTAGTATGCATTTAGGCTCTAGGTATTAGCAGTTGACCATTATGATTTAATTCATAACGCTAATAAACTCGCACTCAAATTCGATAAGACTCACTCAGAAAAATATGACCCATAGAAGCAAGAAGGCTGTCTGCATGAAAACTTTCTGAACTAATAGGTAAAATAGACGAAAAAACAAAGAAAATTTCATAAAGATCCCTTATTGATTTTGTGTGACAATTCTTAGTGGTTTTATTAATTAGAATATCTTTTAAGAATCATGGAGAAAATTTCTGGATTGCATAGTTTAAAAAGAAACATTTCTTAATTTTTTTAAATGTCTTCTTGAATTCATTGAAAAGTACTTCCTCTTAAGTGTATGTGATGCCTTCTTAGAGTTATTTTAAATTAATATTATCAAATGGAAGAGTGTCAGTAAGGCGACCATTTAGTAGGTGTCGGGCTCGAGGACAGGTCGGTGCAGACTTTGTTTTTTATTTTTCTAATTTTAGCTTTTAATTAGGTAACCGGATACTCCATTAAAAATAAGAAAGCTTTCTTGTCGAGGAAAAGCCATAGAGACATTTTCTTAGACTTGTTTTGTTTTATTAGGTGGTTTTCGCTCTGTGCAGTCTCGATTCCTGCAACGACATCCAAATTTTTATCGGCGAGCAATGGAATCCCTATGAGTACATATTTATGTAAATGAAAATCTCTCTCTCTGTATATAAGCAAACATTAGGTTTGTTCGTCGAGCAAAAAATTTTTAGGAATTTGTCCGAATTATCATGATTTTTGCCCAAATCGCGCTCGTGCAGACCAAAAAATTATCCATCCACCAAAAACTGATAGCGCAAAGTGACAGTTCTCCTGAGAGAAGTTGTAAATTCTTGCTGGAAAAATTTTAGCCTCCGAGAATTTGCAATCGCAAAAAACATATGACTGTGGCATATGGTTGCATTTTTGTCTACGATAATTTGAATAAATGAGTTCGTTAAATTTAAAAACTTATAAACACGAGCGATTTTTTTTATGAAAAAAGGAAGTAAATACTTGTTGATATAATTAATTTAGTTAATTCCAATGATTTGAACTTAACTCTGCTGAAACAAAATTGTATTCGCAATCGGAATGCAATTGCAACCAGAGTCGATTAAAGAAACCCGACAGCTAGCACGATAAAGAAATTGAAATGTATGTTAAAGAAAGTCAGAACAACAAAAGATATACATGTACATATATCCTGTTTTTGTCCATCTGAAATAATTTAAAAAAAATCTATAAAAATTGATTATGTTTGAAATGCAACTGTGGAAAAAATTGCAAGTTTCTAGCATGAGAGAGAATTTGAGAGAATTTTTTCTTACTCCCTAATATTTTGAGTGTTGGATAATTTTTGCTGGATTTTCGACGAACAAACCTATTGTTTCTATCTCAGAAAAAAATCTCAACAGCATAATTGTTGGACTTTTAGGAAAAATTTGCAATGGAGTCCCGATGAGTATATAAATTTCTACAATGAAAAGCTCCTCTCTCTGTGTTAAGAACACAACGAAATAATTTTTTGTGAACAATTTGCAACCTCCTTCTCTCATTTGTAATTACTGGACAGAGTATATATGTATATTCTTCACCCATTGTGAGGCCTCAAACAATAGCTTTTCATTCACAATAGCATTTATGGCTTTCATATATACATAGCATCCATTAGCAACGCGTGCGTTCACCATTGTGCCATATCTTCCTTCTATGGCTATTGGCCGTACGTCACAACTTTTTTTTTTTTTAACTTGTCACGCTACAACCTCATTGATGGACGTTCGCACGCATGCCAGCACGCGTATGCAACAGCTACTTGAACGCATTGTGCATCATCAAGCCACAAAAGGATAACAGAAATGCTTACTCGCTTGCAACTTGCTGGTCATATTTTAACATTTTAATCTGGAGTTTGTTTATACCAAACAAAGATTTACGCCAATTAAGCACAGCTATACACATAATAACAACAACAACAACACCACCAACAACAACAACAATGATTGCGTGGACTTCAAAAGTACATCGGCGGCGCTCCACCCCTTCGATTTATAGGCTTTGATTTTAAGTGCGCGTTTGCAAAAATCATATCGAGTATTGCGAATCGGTGGTGGTGGTGGTGGTGGTGCTGGCCATCTCATTCGCTTTGCTTCGCCACGTTATAAACATCCGTTCCATGGTTCACCCTTCGCGCTGCAATTCCATGCAACTGGTACGTTTTATTGCTTCAAAGTGATTTCCAAGCAGTGCGGCTGCTGCTCGGCTGTTGTCAGCCTGCAAATTGTCAATATCAACATCCATAAATAATTGCTCTGATTATGTGACAATTATCTTTGGCAACAATAATGATTGCGATAATTTATGCCACTTGGGTGGGAATTGAGAAAAGGTCCTTTGTGGGAAAATTTAGGCACTCGAAATTTGGTAGACCGTGATGCCTGTGTGTGACGAATGTAAAAGTGTGCTGTGCTATTAAAAAAAAAAAAAATGATACCTAACGCAGCACATGGAAAATGTTCAAATTGGATGCGCAACCATAAAATGGAAATAAATTGTGGTTCCATATACATAAGATTTAGTAATTTTAAACGATATTTTTTATATTAAAATGAAAAATTCTATAAAAAGAAAAAATTACGCTGGTAAAAAGTCTAATAATTTATGTTAAACTCCCTTTTATCTTCAGAAAAATCGTCCTCTGTATGTTCGTCCTCTTCCACGCCGCACGCTGTCAGCACGAGTAGTGAAAATCATCGCAGCTCCAGCAAATGCATAAGCGGTAAGTACAATCATTCATTCTTGTGTATAATATTTTTTTTATAAAAATCTTGAAATTACCACCCCATTCGCTGCTAAAATACCAGCAAAATGTGTTTGTGTGTGTGTGTGGAAAGCGCATTTTGCGTTAGCTTACTTGCAAAAGTTTCCTTGGCTGATTTGCACAGCTTTTTATGGCATAGCCAGGACAATCACCCTTCACCACGAATGTCCTTTGTTGCATGAAAAAGTCGATAGAGTTCGTTAAGTAGAATATTTTAGGGTGGCAAAAAAAAACCATTAGTGTGAGAAACAAAAGCACAGATGCATTCACAAATACATACATACATATTTGTGTAAAGTATAATATGGAATTAGCGATATGCTTCTTCTGTATAAACATAGTTTATTCTGTGCTTGTTCCTTTGTAGGCATGGCTGAGCGCCAGGGACTCTTATGTTGTTCGCAGGAGGTCTTACCCGGGGTTTTATTTTTATTTTTCACAGAAAGAAGTTTTTACGTGGCTTGTCACAAACCCAGCCCACAACCCATTGCTGGGACGGGTGTGGTTTCTTAACCGAATACACCAATACAACAGACGCCTGCTTTTAGCCAAAACTAAGCTGAACAGATGCTGCAGAGCCCTTAAACCGAAGCCCTCTCTCCTTCTGCTGTGACTCACAGACTCGGGTTTCTCACGTTGCCCAAAGTGTGCGAACGAGGGTGCAAGATTCAAGATTGAGTATAGCCGTGCAACTGTAACTGCATACGCAGGGACCTTGCGACGTCCACTACATGCTGCCATGTAAGGGAGCCAAATTCGGTGGTGGGAGAGAGACTCCATCGCCGGGTACATTCGTTCACCTCTGTGGACGAGCGTCTAGCACTAATCCTAATCAAAGCGAGGTTCTTTAACGTCTTGCTCATTTTCGTCCATGCCCCGAAGGAAGAGAAGGACGAGACGTTTAAGGATCTCTTCTATGAGCGCGTGGAGAACACATACCAGCGCTGCATCCGTCACGATATCAAAATCGTGCTTGGCGATTTCAATGCCACGGTGGGCAAGGAAGGAAATTCAGCATTTACGACGAAACGTTTAATGACGCACTGAGGCTCATCGACTTCACCGCTGCCCGAAACACGATAGTGTGCAGGACTAGGTTCAAGCATAAGAAGATCTATCATGCTACTTGGCTGTTTCCAAATGGAAAAACGTTAGAACAAATCGTTCATAAGCACATGCCTCTGTGCAGCAAAAAATGTGCGCCCAAAAATGCAGGGAAAGCTTAACGTCGGACAACAGAAGGCCAATGCATTCACGACTCCACTCTCACACCTGCTCACAGAGAGCACTCTTCGACAAACCGACACATGCGAGCAGTGGAACCACTTTTCCCGTTCATTGAATACCGCCGCCGAAAAAGTAATCGGATTTCAGCGAGCCGGAAAGAACAACTGGAACGATGAGGAGCGTCAAGAAGCAGCGGTCGGGCGCAACGCGTGGCATGTGGGACCGATATAGGGAGCTGAAGAGGGAAGCGAGACGCATAAGAAAATAGAGTCCGAAATACGGGAGTGCGAATAGATTTCAATAAGAGCCGTCAGGAAATACGACTGAAAATTTTATCAGAGTATTAGGCGAGCTGCGGAAAGTTTCAAGACCAGAGCGAACTCATTGAGGAACAACCATGGCGACCGAGTGAGTGATGTTCAGAACGTACTTAAATTATGGAGGTAACACTTTTTCAACCTACTGAATGGTAGGAACACTGAAAAGAAGAATCCGAGCACCCAGTCGATGAAGACGTAGTCGATATCCCACCTGACTATGACGAGGTACGAATAGCAATTACATGGCGAGGAGTTGATAAAGTGCATGCATCAAAACTTAGCCCCCAGAATTAACGTCGATAATAATGCCAGCCTTGAAATCCAACGGAGAATCACTTTTGGCAAAAAGTGTTACGTTACATCGTGTAGGCAATTAAGATGGAGTAGTTCAAAAACCACACGCAGTGGAAACCAAGGGAGCCTTGGAGTGTTGGGGGAGAAAATTTCTTCGGAGATCAAGGGGCCTTTGCGCGTTGGCGGCAGTGAGTAGCGAAGACGATGCAACGATGTGCTTGATGGGCCTTGCAACGGCATGGACATAATGCAGCGAATTTAAATACAGCGGCTCCGCTGGCTTGGTCATGTCATTCGATTGTACACCGACGCTCCAGCTCTGAAAGTATTCAACTCGGAATCCGCTGATGGTAGCAGAGGAAGATGTGGGGGCCTCCATTGAAAGGACTTGGCTTTACATGGCATTTTGAATTGACGTCAGTTGGCACAGAAGAGAAACGATTGGCGTGCTTTGTTGTACTCGGCCAAAATCGCCGAAGAAGATTTAGTATGATCCACAATAAAACACTTTCTTGCGGTAAAACGAAAAAACGGATTTCAATAAATACGGGAAAACTGCGTAGACTTACATGAATTTAGGCCTTGCTCCATAAATGTGAAATGTCCCCCCATTTTTAAAAGAGGGTTAGGTTGGCCCAACTTTACGAGCTCCTTAGACCGCCACCAATCCACTTGTGACTAGAGTAACTAAGTTACCTAGCATTTTAAATTTATTTATTTATTACAAACTGAAGCTTACAATTAAAATTATAAGCCTAGTAAGGAAAGCTATGGCTGCTATGGCCTTCAGTCTTCTTTGATGTATAAATAGAGCTTTATCCTAAGTGCTTATAAGTAGTTAAGTATTTCATTCTAAATTTTCAGATGCGATATATTTATTGGATATATTTATTTAAATTTTGTAATATAATTTGGATATTTTTAAGAAAGCTATAATTTTATTAATATTATCGATTGTGGGGTTGAAAATGCATTGTACGGGGTCGGTGTTATGAAGTATATGATTTCTTAGTGAATTGAAGGAATAACAATCTGACACAACGTGATTAATGGAGATCGGGGCGGAGTTACAAAACTGACATGTTCTGGGGGTATTGTTGTCTATAAGGTGAAGATGGGTTAATTTTGAATGGCCCAGACGAAGTCGGGCGAGTTTAATAAAATCCATTCTGGAAAGTGATGGGTCGGCATGGTTTGCGAGGTCGCTTAAATGAAGCCTCTGTACATTTTGCGCCTTGTACCAAGTTGAGCATTTTTGCCAAGTCTCAGATTGATATTGTTTTATGAATTTCATTTTGAGAAATTCAACTATGTCATTAACACTTAGATTAGTAGTTGTTAAGACAGGAGCTATGGTGGCGTATTTTGATGTGCTATCAGCATTTTAAATTATTACGCAGCGCTAGCTGGGCTAAGTGAATGCATTTTCATCGAGAAGTAGTCCACACGTCACCGAATGAAGCCCCGTATTTATATACTTTATTTGGAGACAAAACTTCAAGAGAGCACTATCTGACTATTTCGCCAACCGTTTCCTGCAATGTAGCGTGACAGACAGGCACGCTTGATCAATTAACCTAGTGCCTTATTTGCCACCTGACTATCAGAACAAATATTTACCTCTTTCGAGAGTAAGCACCCAATGCGTTGCATTTCGATAGCGCGTACTTCGGCTTAGGAGACACGGAAGTCTAGAACTTAGGTTGAGGGAAAGTTCCCTGCAGAAGACATTTCCACGTATCTTCTCACCCAACTTCACCACTCAGTCTTCCTTGATAAAATAAAATCTCCAGTTTCAAATTTAAGCCTAAAAGTCGCCTATATTTGGAATACCCTCTTTTATTTTAACTTTAAAAATGCTCAAATTACTAATTGATCAAGTCTAATTACCAATTATATAACTAAACTCGCTCGACAAAAGTTCAAAAAGAACAACATTATTTAGATAAATTTATGAGAACGATTGAGATTTCCATCTACAAATAATTACGCTCGGCTATCAGTCACTGCTTTAAGCAGTTAAGTTCAACTAATCGTCGATTATAATAATCTCCTTGAAATCCACTCGACACACTCGAAGAGTGTGAATAGGTTTGAGCGCTCAATGGGAATTAGTTACGTAGAGTATATAGTAGTAGATAGTTAGACGCGTGGACGCACAGCGGGGCAGTGCAGTGGGAAAGTTTGTAAACAATTGTCAAGATGATTTGATTAACACATTGCTACTGTAAACATACATTCGAAAAAATCACAACACAACAACAATGCGATGCTCGGTGCTCGCTTAAGTGCACTTGAGCGGTAATCCTATTAAAAATGGCACGAAGCAGACGTTCACTGACAGTTGACGGGCTGTAACACCCCAAAAACAGAAAGTCAAAAGAGGTGGACAAGCATACATTCTACAAATAGATACGATACGCGAACATTCGCACACACATACTAATCTCATCACTAAAAGCTACACTTTGACTGGGCCATGGCAGTCCGATTACAGTGGAGTGCGCTCAGTAGCCGGCGGTGGTGCTGGTGATGGTGGCGGCGCTACACATTGTTGCTGGAACAATGAAGATAATCGACGAGATCATAAAATGATCAAAACGCAATTGTAAGGCACGCGAACGGCATAGAGGCGAAAAAGGAATGTGGGGTGAGAGGTGTGCAAGAGCGCAGATACAATACTCGTAGTGAAGGTAAGGTTTTGCTGGTGAAATGGTTGTCGTGGGAAAACTTCGCATATCTCTATGTAATGTGTGTATGTATGTATGTGCGTGCAATGAATAAAAAATGTGCAACAATTAATAAAAGTGTGCGTATGAGCAATAAATTTTCGTGAATTGATTTGTTGAAGTGGAATGCGAGAGAGCGAGCCTGTGAATGAATTAGTGAAAGAGTGATTAAGCAGGAGTAGTAGTTGCATGCAGGCTGCACATGGTATGCTTAAAAGGTTTTTAGGTGATTTATGAGCTTGACTTAGTGGCGATATTGGGAAAGTGATTTCATGTGAAAAATTCAGTGAAGTATAAAGTAAATATGTCATAACATGAATTTTAGGTGCAATTAAGTGAATATGAAAAAGGTTTTAATAGGGCAATGTTAGAATGTTGATGGCACTAAAAATATTTTCTAAAGAACGGGTAATCTACTTCTTCGTTTGAAAATCAATTGAGTTTTAAGCACTTCGGCACTCAGATATCTATCGCACTTGAGTAACCCATATCCACTTCGTTAAGTGCCTACTTCCTCAACTACCTATGTACATATATAAGTTTTGCATTCTCCAAATACTATTTTAAATACATCTATACTCTTTCAAGTGAACGTAAATTTCTAGCACGGCCTCTTAATGAATCCAAAAGAACTCAAGAATACACATAAATATTTAAAAACTTTGAAAATAACGCGATAGCAGCGGTATCTAGCGGGTAGCTTTGATTGCAGGTCCCAAACCCATAATAGATCTTTGGCTCAGAGTTTATTGCCCAAGCAGATTTTCTTAACCATAGTGTAAGAAAATCCGCGCTGTTCCAACTAGAAGATTTTTCTCAAAAAATTCTTGTCGGCTGCTTTTTCTTATCTTGCTGCTTGAAGAAAAATTACTGGGGATAGACCCCTCTGATTTATCGGACTATGGAAATTTGCCAAGTTATCGATATTTATTGAATTAGCAATATTAATTGATCATGGAAATTTATAGAGGTATCGAAGTTTATCGAGTTATCTAATGCACCGAGCTCTTTCAACTTGTAGAGTTATCGATATTACTTGATTTATCGAACTTTGTTAGTAGCTTTCGAAGTCTCGTATTTACGAATGGAAGTTTTTGGAATTTTAAAGGTATATCGAGTTATCGAAATTTCTAGGGTTATTTAAGTTTTTCGAGCTATTACACTTTATCTAATTTTATCGAGTTACCATAGTGCATCGAGTTATCAAAATTAATCGAGCTATCGAAGTATTCGAGTTATTCAGAGTTTGTCGAGCTATCGATATATATCGAGGTATGTAATTTTTTGACAAATGCAAGGGCCAATACGAAGACGAAGACAAATATGAATTCAAAAACGAGAACGAAGGCCAACCTAAGACGAATACGATTACGAAGATGAGTACGGAGATTAATGCGAATATTTATATGAATAGCTGCACGAAGGCGAATAAGAAGACAAATACGAATAGGTTTACGAAAGTGAAGATGGAGAAGAA